ATAAATTAAATTGGTTACTTATAGCATAAAAAAGAAAAAGATTAAATAATTCTGCCAAGCAATTCTGGAAGATTATTCAAAAATGAAAAGTTGTTAACTTTAGCGAAAACAATAGGCAAAAATTATAGGACGAAAACTAATGCCACAAAAAATAGTATTTCAATGAAAAATAAAAAAATTCACATAATGTAACAAAAACAACATGGATCTTAATAAACAATGAAGTTGTTAACAAAAATAACTTTTCCAATATTACTAAACTTTGTGTTAATGATAAAATTTACTCTGATACTAATAAGTTATGTAATCTATAAGTTATGTAATCTGTTTAGTGATCACTTCATAAATGCTGTTGGTAGTGAAGTTTTACCAAATTTAAATGAAGTTGATGAAATGGGAAATTATCTGAAAGATTCAGGTATCAATATCCCATTTTCAAATATAAACCTGTAGATGAAAAAGAAACTATATTCATCGGAGGAATTTTAGTATGTTTAGTTTTTAATGTAGTCTTATGAAAATATTTTTGACACAACTCTATGTACTAATTTCATGTACAATAATGAAATGAAGAATGTTTGAATTGAATTGAATTGTCAAACGTATGTTTTCGATCAGTGGGAAGAATAATTTATTTTGTTGTACATAAAAAAATCATGCTTTGCCGATATGAACCATGTTCATGTTTTAAATGATCTAATGGCAATCTGCTTGATATTTTTTGGAAGGTTTTTGTGGAGAACTTTCAAAAATATTTGGGTATTAGTCATGTAGCTGAAAGATTGTATTTTACTGGACAGATTCTGTAAATATGGTTTAACTATCTTGCATTTTTCTCCGCATCTTTTTTGGTGCAGGAAATTCCAGCACCAAAAAAGATGCGGAGAAAAATGCTGCTAAAGATTTTGTACAGTATTTAGTTCGAACTGGGGTCGTGAATGAAAATGAGGTTCCCAAAGATAGTTTAGATGGCGCTGGCGCAGGCGCAGGGATGCAGGATGGTCAAACTCCCAGCGCCTCGCTGCCCGGTGCCCTCCCGCCTCACATGGCGCTCGGCCTCAACGCTAGGCCAGTGTTCCAATCCGGCTCGAAGGACCAAATGATAAAAGAATTTAGATCGATCGATAAACTTAGATTAAAATGTAGATGAAGATAGATAAATAGAGAAAAAAACTAGATGATGTTTCTTAGTGGACTGTATTTCTTTAACTGAACAAAAAGTAAACATGATATAAAATACTAATATGAGAACAGCTGTTAGAAACAGTAAATTAGGAAAATAACTTTACCAGTCATGGAAACCATTCCATGATCTTTTTTCTTCACTAGTGATCCAAAATCCTAACTTAACTGATGTAGCTAAGTTACACTATCTCAAAACCAGTTTGTCAGGTGATGCTGCTCAATTGCTAACCAATTTCCAAATAACAGGAGAAAATTTCATGCCAGCTTGGGAAAAACTTGTGACTAGATATGAAAACAAACGTGTTTTAATCAAAAGGCATTTGGATGATATATTTCATTTAAAACCTCTAGAAAATAAATCTGCTAGTGGTCTCAATCACCTCATGTCTACTATCAATGAGTCTTTAGGTTCCCTCAAAGCGCTAGGATCTCCTACAGATAAATGGGATCACATCTTGGTGTACATGATTGTACAACGACTGGACCCAGAGACACACGAAGCATGGGAGATTCGTTACAGAGTCTCAACAGAACCCTCCACCCTGGAAGATCTTCAGACCTTCATCGAAGGTCGTATTCGAGCCCTGGAAAGTATTAACACTGCCAAGCGATGTAACGGTAACTACACTACAATATTATAAAGGTAATCCTCATCAAAATCTTAAAGTACATTCAGCACAAATAGTAGCAAAATCTCAAACCAATATAGGAAATCATTGTCAACTGTGCAGTAAAGATCACTATTTAGCATTTTGCAAGGAGTTTCGTGACAAAGTACCTAGTCAACGAAAAGAGGTTCTTGTGAACAAAAGATTATGTTTTAACTGTCTTGGTTCACATTTGTTAGAGGACTGTCGCTCAAATAAATCTTGTTTACAATGTAAGAAAAGACATCACACTCTAATTCATGATGCTGTTAGCCAGACTACAAATATACGTCATATAAAAAAGTAAAGTTCTCTCATCCCTAACAAATTCATCTCATCCACAGATAACACATCATCAAGCTCACACGTCTCCTCTAATCACATGCTTCCATTTAAGGAAATTAATCGACAATCTGTGCTCCTAGCAACCGCTCAAGTTGAGGTAATTGGTCCTGCGGGAAATAGTGTTATTGCCAGAGCTTTAATCGACCAAGGATCTGAAATCTCTTTCATCAGTGAATACTTAGTACGAACTCTCAATCTGAAGCGTTCATACTCCCCAGTATCTCTTGTTGGTATCGGTGGACATCAAGCCCTAACCACTCGTGGGATAGTTTCAATCAATCTTAGTTCTCTGTATGATACCAAAGTTAGCTGCTCTTTATCTTGTCACATCCTTTCAAATCTCACATCAAATTTGCCATCGATAACACCAAATCATTCATCGTGGAATCATATCAAGGGACTTCAACTGGCTGATCCTGCCTTCATGAAACCTGAATCTGTAGATTTAGTCCTAGGAGCAGACATCTACACGTCTATTATCCTTCCTGGTCTAATTAAAGGTCCACCCCTCTCCCCAGTAGCACAAGCAACAATTTTCGGTTGGATCTTGTCTGGACCTACTGGAATAACGGAAAATAAATCTACCTCATCAATGTTTCATTGCTTAATAGAAAACAAACTTGATGATTTTCTTCAAAAATTTTGGGTACAGGAAGAAATTCCTCAAATTAAAGAATCAGTCAAGTCTCCTGATGATCAAGTATGTGAGGAACACTATCAATCAACCTTTTCTAGAGAACCTTCCGGTCGCTATCAAGTCCGACTTCCCCTAAAGGAAACAATCAATCAGCTTGGAGAATCTCAATCGTCAGCTTTTCAAATTTTAACGAAGCTAAATACTCGTCTCTCAAACGATCTTGAATACAAAAACTTGTATACTAATTTCATAGAAGAATACAAAGACCTTGGTCACATGACTGAAACTATTAAAGAAACAGATTCTACCATTCCTATATATTACCTACCTCATCATGGTTTTTTGCGTCCTTCTAGCACGACAACTAAATTAAGAGTAGTTTTCAATGCCTCATTCCCAACTAGTTCAGGATTATCTTTACAGGTACTCTACAGTGGTCCTTGGTCCAAAACTCCAAACAGAACTACCTGATATTCTCACTTGGTTTAGGCGCTATGAATACGTATTTGCCACTGATATCGAGCAAATGTATCGCCAGATTCTAGTACATCCCAGTGATCGAGATCTTCAAAGAATTCTCTGGATGGAAAATGGTCATCTTAGAAAATATCAACTACAGACTGTTACATATGGGTTATCATGCGCTCCTTTTCTCGCCCTAAGAACGATGAATCAGCTTATCATTGATCATGGTGATGCATATCCCCAAGCTAGTGAAATGTTGTCAAGAGGGAGATATATGGATGACATTTTTGGTGGTGCAGACTCGATTGAAGAGTGCAGAGAAGTAGTAAAACAGACTGACGAGCTTTGCAAATTAGGTTGTTTTCCTTTACAGAAGTGGATCAGCAATGATCAAAATGTACTATCATAAATATGTGAAAGTAATTGCGAAGAAGGCAATTCCTTATTGATAAACAAATCCTCCAGTATACGTACTCTTGGACTTACATGGAATCGATTCAGCGATGATTTTCAGTTTCTTCCTACTCCAAGTCCAAAAGACAAATGCACGAAAAGAAACGTTCTTTCTCAAATAGGTCAGTTATTCGACCCCTTGGGTTTTGTCTCCCCTATCATCATAAGGTTCAAACAATTCATGCAACAACTTTGGCTAGTCAAAATTCCTTGGGACCAACTTTTACCTAACCACTTGCAAGACCGATGGAAACTCCTTGAAGCTGACCTACAATATTTGCCATTAGTTAAAGTACCTCGTTATCTTGGTCTTACCCAACTATCTTCGGTAGAGATTCATGGATTTTCAGATGCTTCTAAGCTTGCATTGAGTGCTGTAGTCTACCTAAGAATCGTTAATCGTGAAAATATCACTGTTAGTTTAGTTATTTCTAAAACTAAAGTAGCTCCTCTCGAGACAATGTCGATTCCTCGACTGGAACTCACTGCTGCTACACTACTAGTAAAACTTGTAGAGTATGTTCGGAAAATGCTCAACTTAGAATCTGCCCAAGCATGGTTATGGACTGACTCTATGGTTTCCCTAACCTGGATTACAAATCAACCTTCAAAATGGAAAGACTTTGTGCGTAACAGAGTAAGTGTTATACAAGAGACAGAACCACTCGCTAAGTGGAGGTATGTAGCAGGAAATGAAAATCCAGCCGACTGTGCTTCACGAGGTGTTACTGCTAAAATCCTTAGCAACCATAAGCTTTGGTGGACGGGTCCTCCGTGGCTGAATAAAGATGTTTATGAGTGGCCATCCACGACGTTTGATCCAGCTCAAGCAGCTAAATCTGAACTGCGAATCCCTCAATCAACTTGCCACATTTTAAACTTTGAACCAGAACCAGAAATGCTAGAGCGCTTCTCAACACTGTCAAAACTATTACGTGTTACTTCCTGGTGTCTAAAGTTCATTGCCAAAACAAAAAAATCCATCCAATCATTGTCAATCCATGTCAATCATTTTTAACTCCTCAAGATCTCAACTCATCTCTTTTGTTGAGGGTAAAACTCATTCAAAAACATGCCTTCAAATATGAGCTCGCGCGGTTACAAAACAACAGACCTTTGGAAAAATCTAAATCTAATCTTATAAGTCTTAACCCCTTTGTCGATAACACTGGTCTAATGAGAGTTGGAGGCAGACTTCCATCGTCAAACGAGAACTGTTAAAGTGTGTTACTTGTGCTCGTTATCGCTCTCAAAGAGCTCAACAATTAATGGGGCAGCTTCCTCCTACAAGAACATCACCATCACGTCCCTTTTTGCACTCTGGTGTAGATTACGCAGGCCCTTTTGTAATCAAAACATGGCATGGAAAGAGAGCAAAAACCTACAAAGGTTATATTGCGGTGTTCATCTGCTCGTCGACCTCAGCTATTCATCTAGAGTTGGTTTCCAACTTCTCAGCAGAAGCCTTCATAGCGGCTTACAAACGATTCACCAGCCGTCGAGGCATCTGTGCTACTTTAACTAGTGACTGCGGGACAACATTTGTAGGAGCTGACAAAGAACTGAAAAGATTGTTTTCATCGTCTTCAGCAGAATCAGGTCAACTCAAGTCCCTGCTTGCTAATGATGGAACTGAATGGAAATTCAACCCTCCTGCTGCTCCACATTTTGGAGGTCATTGGGAAGCTGGTGTTAAATCAGTTAAATACCATCTCAACCTACCTACCTACTAACTTCGAATTTTCGACAGTGCTGGTACAAATAGAAGCGGTACTTAATTCTCGCCCTCTGTGCCAGCTTACAGAAGATCCAGACAATCTAGCAATCCTAACCCCTGCGCACTTTTTAGTTGACGAATCTTTAACTACTATCCCAGAACCTAATCAAGAAAACCAACCCACATCAAGACTTACTCGGTGGAAATTAACTCGCCAAATGTTGGAATCATTATGGAAGAAGTGGTCTCGGGAGTACCTTCAACAACTTCAAAGCGATATACAAATGGAGATTTCCTTCCTGTTCAATAAAACTTGGATCAGTTGTTCTTGTTGTTGATGAGCAATTACCACCATCAAAGTGGCCGCTAGCAAGAGTGACTGAACTTCATCCAGGTCGTGATGGACTTACCCGAGTAGCCACTCTGAGAACAGCAAGTACCTCACTGAAAAGACCAATAGTCAAGCTTTGTCCTCTTCCAATTGAAGTCAGTGATTAATATGTATTGCTCCTTCGGCGCAATGGGGGGGGGAGAATGTTTAAAGTTATTTTCCTAATTTACTGTTTCTAACAGCTGTTCTCATATTACTATTTTATATCATGTTTACTTTTTGTTCAGTTAAAGAAATACAGTCCACTAAGAAACATCATCTAGTTTTTTCCTCTATTTATCTATCTTCATCTACATTTTAATCTAAGTTTATCGATCAATCTAAATTCTTTTATCAAACACCCCCCCCTGAATGGCAACAACCAAAACACAAACCCCAAAGCACAAAGAAGAGATAATCAGGGACATTTAGTTACTACACAAAATAAAACAACCTCCATCACTATTTTTCACCAAAATGTTCAAGGTCTTCGGAAAAAGATTGAAAGAATAAATCATCTAATGAGTGAACTCAAGTCCGCTATCTTGGTGATTACTGAACATGGACTTAGCTCAGATATCTTATTACTCACTAAGATTAGTGGTTACAACCTAGTCACATACTCCTGCAGGAAAGATCATACAATGGGAGGGGTTGCAATCTAAATCCAGGAAACTGCTGTCATCAAGGCAGAAGAAATAGAAATCTCCAACCAAAGTGTAGAGTTAGTTTTAGAAGCAGCATTAGTGAAAATAAGGATAAAGAACAAAAACCTCTACTTACTTGGTATGTATAGACCACCAGGGGGACAAGCTAGATTAGCCATTGACATTATATCAAAAGTTCTGGAGTCACTTCAAGCTGACACCAAAGGCCGTTGTATTAATGGGCAATATCAATATAGACAGGCTAACTGAAAATGCCAGTAGTAACTATCTTGAAGAGGAACTGTAAACTTTTGGAGTTAGAAGATTACCACTCCCAGCGACAAGAATCACTAACCATTCAAGACTGTATCTGTACGAATACACATGATAATGCTATAGATTTCGCTATAATTAACACTGGAATAGCAGATCACACAGGTCAAACATGTACCGTCAAAATACAGAGTGAAGTTACTGCTAAAACAGAGATGTCACAAAAAAGATGTTTTCTTGAATGTTTTCAAGAAAAAACCTGGATAGCATGAAATATGAACTCTCCAAAGAAAACTGGATAAAGGTGCACAATGCCCCTGATGCTGAAGAGGCATACTCTGCATTCCAAAGGACTATAATTTTTAGTACAATTGAACAATAACAAAAAATTAGACATCAAATTTTTGACCAAACACCAAAGAGTGAAATTGTAGGCCTACCACAAACAGTCAGAAGGGCAAAAACTGACTTGGCAGTTTCTCCCAAATAGCGGCCTTCCAACAAACATTTCTCAGTCAAATTCTAGGCCTAGCATCTCGGGGAAAGCCCTGAATTCTACAAAACAACAGAGAAAAGGGAAACTGAGACTACAAAAGATGTCCCACGACCCTAAACTAGGTTCCAAACCTAGCGCAACATGCAACTTAAGTTTCAGAAAATTGTGCAAAACTCACCCATCAGGCACAGACGGCCTGTAAAACTACTCCATCGAAGAAAAGATCACAACTATCAGCCAAAAATAAAAACTGAATGGCACATAAAATTATCCAAAAGTAGAGGATTGATATGGATAAAATCTTCAGTGAAGTTTACTCTTTTGACGTCTCGGGGCCTCTGACACTTGGCGGTGGGAGTAAGAAGAACAAGGCACAGCCTTGTTGAGGGTCGTGGGAAGAAACAAATCGAAACACTAAACTAACCTACTATACAAAAACACTTGGACCGTTGAATATGAGTAGTGACATTCGCCGGTGGAATTAGTCAAGGCTCAGTAGACTCACACAACCGCTTGTTGTATGTCTACCTACAACGACTGCCGTGCCGTGTCAAGATAGCGCTATCTTGTTATTTCGTGTTTTAAATGTTCCGCGTCCCGTGTTGTATTTTATGTAAATTATTTGATGTTTTTGACGTAAAGCTCCGACGATGTTGCGGTGCAACGAAACATGTCAGCTTTGATCAACGTTAGTTGAAATAATGACGGAGGTAAGCCTATAAAGTCATTATTCGTAGTCAATGGGCTATCAGAATGAATAATATGATAATATATTACTTGATTTTAGTAGTGGTTTACTGAGAAATTGCACTCTATAAATAGATAGAACCTTATCCTATGCAGTGTCAACAAATTGACTAAGTCTGCTAGCAACTTGTGGACAAAGGGTTTAGTGGTTGGCAGACACAGCAATAAGTCCTGAGGTGCGGCTGGTCCTGACCACAACTGTTGACCTAGAGACGGACCTTTTAATGCTGATATAGTCTCTGGAATAGCTTAGGTAATAGGAATAACAATTAAAAATCTATCCATTCTATAATAATGTTGATAATAAATAGAATTTTCAAACTCTTGTTCCACATTAAATATAAATATTTATAAACTAATTAACCCCAATTAAAGATTAATTTATATAAATACAAATCAGGTTGACATGCAGAGTTATATAGTAATCATGATTATGTCGGGATGTGGTCTTTTTATGCATATTGTTGGTAGAAATCAACACTATATTATTAAAAGTATATCAAACTTATATTAATAAATTGTTTCGAATAAAATTACTTAATCAATGACAATTATAGTTATTGTTAAAGGTACGTCGTCGGTCCTCCCTAGCTTTCAGGACCGTTGATTCTTCCACTCATAAAGTACCCATACTACAATGGCAGCTGAATGTCTCTCAGTTGTCGCAGCCCCTAATCAAAGCTGATCAAACATGGTCACTTCCGTTCGCAGATTACTGCCATTAGGCAAACCTGTTCAAAGACGTTAATTTGATTTGCTTTGGCAGGACGATCCAAAGTAAACATTTAAAGTTACACTGTGTTAATTGAACAATCAAGCAAAGTTGTAAAAAAATACATTGCACATAAGCTATGTTAGGGTTTTAACGAGCCATTTGGACTGCATTCTTAAAGAGGGTTGATCTATTGGGTAGTTAATCCAAGTTAATCATCCCTAACATTACGTAAAGACATAGGGCTCAAAAACAATTTACAGGGTCTCCGGTTCGATCCATAGAAAATTCAGTAGCTTTATCGACGAAACTGGACCGGTTTGCCCATGATCTTAGGGGTATAAACGGTCGGGGCGGAAGGAAGAGATGGTCTTAGTCATTGGAGTGAGTTACATTTTGTATCTTTGGGAGCGAGCTGGTTTAGTGGTTAGAGCGCGGGACCCCGGTTCCTAGGGTCCCGGGTTCAAATCCCGCCAAATCACCAATGGATTTAATCAAAGTGATAATGCCATAACCCCTACGTCTAGCCTGAAGCAATGCAAAAAACAATTCCGGGCTTGTGCCTAGCGTCCTACGAAAATAGGAACTCAATGGAGGTCAACTCAAAACAGTATATATTCATATTTAGGGTAAAAATAAGGGTAATAGTAGCATTGTGATAGTAAAAATATTATGATACAAAATAATTTTACTATTGGTAGAACGTTATAGCTAACGCTGGTATTTGAAGTTTATTTTTTGAGTTGGTGAATGTACGATATTTAACATCTATCATTTTTGGGAAATGCCCTCAATGATCTCTTACATAACGTGTACGCCTGTGTAGCACATTCTGTATCAAGAGAGTGTGTTTGGATACATCACTTTGTGTTAAAGGATATGAAATACGAAACAAGCTACATATATCAATATAGATCATTATTTTATATTTACTGTAAATAAATACATTTTTCCTACAGTCTCCCAACAAAGTTGGCTTCTTCGTACTGTTTATAGTACAGAAAGCTGCTAATTGCTGCATATTTATACTTTGTCGTACGGTTTATACTTTGGCACACATCAGGATTCCAACGAAACATCACAAAACAGCGTGGTTCTATTATGCACGTAATCCGTGTACGCTTGGAAATAGGTTGGCAACACTTAAATATAATAATACTATGATCAGCTGATTGACTATAAAAACTACGATTTAACCTGTCATTTCATGTTTATAGTTTATGTTCCCTTTTCGTTATTTCTGAACTTTTCTTTTAAAGGTTTTTAAAATATTCCTACAATCTTAATTAACAAGAAAATACCTTTAAAACATTTTTTTGGCACGGAAACCACTGCAAATTACAAAAATATACGGAACTATTTTCTCAAGTCGCGGAGCACATTTCTTGCCGAGTAAAAAATAGCGGAGTGATACGGACCGGGGACTACTTTCTCTAGGGCACCTATTTGTGTTGCCAGCTGAACCTAAAAACGTGTTGTATAGTGTTTGAAGGACTAATTATGTATATGCTTTATAGTGACTGTAGGAAAAATATAATGTGTAACACGAAAGCAAAAGGCCTTTGCTGCACTCGATATCATTCCGCACTCGTCTGCGGCTCGTGCGTAAACGTTGATCTCGTAAGCAGCAAAGTGCCACTTTGCTCACTAGTTACACAAATAACTGTTGATCTCGTCATTCATTAATAACACAAAGTTAAACCCACTGTGTGGAACGTCACATGCCATTTTTGAACATATAACTCATGAAGAATTTGAACACACCGAGAGG